TTAATTCTCTTTATCAGGAATACGTTGTTAATAAATCTTATAATTTTTGACCAGGGCAGCATGTCAGGTGGGGTGGGGTGGGGTGCAGCAGAGTGGAGTGGAGTGGAGTGGAGTGGAGTGGAGTGGAGTGGAGTGGAGTGGAGTAAATAAAAAATAAATAAAAAAATAAAGATTATCATTATTATTGTTTGCACATATTAAAATAATTTATACATAAGAAAAAGAAAAAGTTAAAATCTAAAACTAGTTGTATCTAAAAATCAATCTGTTAGTAAAACTAATTTGAAAACCCAATAAGTGTTTGTAAGCCGAGTTAAGATTCATGATAGTTATGATTCATCAGCTTTTTAATTATAAATCAAGCCAAGCTTTTGAGCATCTTGCTCTTCATCAGGGCAAACGGTTGACAATTTTACAAGAAAACACGCAACATAACAATGTGCGCGTGCTAAAGTTAAATGTATCAGTTGCTAGGAGCGCCCTTGTTACGAAGGGAGAATTAATTGCGCGCGCTATTTTTTATTTTTTTGTCTATTAAGATACGCTATATGATCTTAATTGCCTATCAAGCTACGATAGCTAGCAACTGATACATTTAACTTTAGCACGCRCACATTGTTATGTTGCATGTTTTCTTGTAAAATTGTCACAACCGTTTGCCCTGATGAAGAGCAAGATGCTCGAAAGCTTGGCTTGATTTATAATTAAAAAGCTGATGAATCATAACTATCATAATTTGAAAACGTTCTGTATTTACAGCAGGTATTAAGGGCAGGCACTGCTTCTTCTTAAATTATGAGCTAATTTCAGTAATAGGTAATAAAGATTTCAAAAAATGGTTGCTATCTTTCTTAGCCTTAGCTGCTATTCAACCTGTTTTAAAAACATCAAAACGTTGAAAATGATGATGCTGTACGACATCCGTCTTGAAGGTACTTCATAAATGCATTGTCTTTGCCACAAGGGTTTTCCTCCAGCTCATAATAACAATGATACACTTCATACACTTTACAAGGGTTAAAGAAACTTTACATACTTTATTTAAACTCAATTTATGCTTTTCATTAATTATAATTAAATGAGGATTATAGCCAGCACCTACAACAACTTACCGCTGCTACTTTCAATACTGATTCTGCATGAAGTGAATATTTAAATGGTGAAATATTAAATTTGTTCATTTGAGAGTTGCAATTTCAAATTATAAAGCATCATACTTCTAAAATATTCATAATGTAAGACATTCAAGTGTAAGGGTAAGGTCAAACATCAAACTTTATGTGCGCCTAACCTAACTGTGCAAAAATTGAATTTGGACCTTTTAAGTCCCTCTTCACTATTACATGTAGGTCAGTCGGGAAAAGTAACTGTAGATCGACTTGGGCTCAAATGTTGAACATCACATAGATAGCAGCATGCCTTTTTCTGAATTTGTTTATTTTCTTGATCAAAAATATGGATGCTGTTATGATGGCGTGACTACTGACCGCGTTAGCATTAAACATGATTTGTTTGGTTTCATTGGTTTTAAGTTCCACATAATTTCCAAGTTTGACTCAATTAGTTGAACTTAATCATGAGTTAATCACAAATACAGTAAGGTTCGGCTCAATGTAAAGTTCGACGTTTGACCCGAGCCTAACTGTCATAACTAATAATTATGAGAAAACGAATTTGCAATAACCTTCATGCTAACCAGGAGTAAAAACTTTATGCTCCTGAAATAGTTTGCAAGAACCATTTACATTATGCAAAGTTAATGAAGCCTTTACAGTGCAACTACTATAACCACTTAAAAGATCAATTCAACTTGCTCTTTAAGCCTTATTATAGTACTATGAACTGTTTGATTAATAAAAATAGATTCTGATGGAGGTAGCTTAGTTAAGCTAAAGTCCTAAGATACAGATTGTAATAGTGTATTTTCTTTCTAGAGGACCTCTATAAGAAAATGAAAAAATAATAACAATAAGTGAACTATATATTATCACAAATTCTTTGGGTAAAAGTCCAAATCTATATATATCTTCCCAAATTGTAGTTAATCATTGATAGCTCAATCTAAAGTTGTTTATTTACAATTCCTTGACATAATGAAATTCCCAGTGATTTTCTTTCAAACAAAATAAGCTGCAAGTCGGGACATTTTGTCTTTAGGTTCACTTCTACCACGACCACGTCTCCGACCCCTCCCTCTTCCTCCCCTCCCTCTCCCTCTTCCTCCCCTAAACATAGGGTGCTTAGATGCAGCATGCTGCATATTCATAAGAGGAAGTAATAATGGATCGCAAAAGAGGCAGCCATAGTGCTGTGTCTTGTTTTCAGGCAAAGGACTGCTGGATTTATTAAAGTTAATATTAAGAAGTGCTGATCCACAACTGCAAATTTGATCAGCCACTGAGATGCGAAATGCACCCTCACACAAGTGAATAAGCATATTACAGTTATTACATGCTAGTCGCCATTTTGGAGCTGAAGTAGGGTCTAAAATCAAACTTCCCTTTCCACATTCTGTGCAGTCTGCTACGCTTAAGGCTTCTTCTGAATGTGGACATGCTGGATGTGAACACTGATTGCACCCCATACCCTTGCGCATATCTGGAAAAGGTGGATGATTGTAACAATATGGACAAACAGCAGTGCTTTTCCCTTTTGCACCAGTTGACCATAGTACTAGTTCAAAATCATCAAGAGGGCATTTAATCTCTTTGTACAGCTTGATGCTACCATTTTGGGGGAGGCTGTATGTTTCATCGCAGTTGGCACAGTGCAGGCGGGACGGCTTTGCATGAATGTACTTCATGTAACGATTACATTTCCCACACCTCGACAGAGGCTTCCCAGTCTTAGCAAGAGGAGTAAATGAAACTTCAAAGAGTTCATCCATGCTGCCAATTGTTGAGACAAAATACATGTATTTCTTAGTAAAAATATTTGATGCATGATTCAAAACAGCATGAAAATCAGCTTTGCCATGTGCTATGAGATTCAACTGAGCTTCTACATCTGATCTCATTGTGGGAAGCACTAACTCTGGGTCAATTTTCTGATAACCATGAACCAAAACTATACCTAAGGTGGTAGGTACCAGTTTGCGTCCACTCTGTACCTGGACATAGTTCCTTTCACAGATGTTATTTATATGAACTGCAATGCTAGCATCTGTACCAATGCCATGCTTTTCCATCAGAGATATAAGTTCACTCTCTGTCAGAAAATCAGGAGGTGATGTTTGCCTCTCCTCTAGCTTCACAACAGAAATTTGATACACATCATTTTTAGAACATGGTGGTAACTGCTCATCATTGGCAACTGCCAGCCAGGTCATGACTGAAGTGAAACCCTCATCGATCACTGCTTTTCCTGAGAAACTAAACTCCTCTTTTCCAATGGCAAATTTAACAGTGGTTTGCAAATACTTGGAATCTGGACTCAATGTGCCTATAAAATGCCTCGTTATAAAGTCATACAATCTCCAGAGATCCCCACCAAGTTCTGATGCAGTTGCACTTTTCATTGGCGTGATTGGAGGATGGTCACCAGCATCATAGCCCTTTTTTGGTTTGGTCATTTGCCCATTTAGCAGTTCTTTTACATATTCACCCCAGTTTGGATTTGAGAGCTGAAGGCGAAGTGTTCCTTTAAGGTCAAAACTTTCTGGGTAATGAGTTGTTTCAGTTCTGGGGTAACTTATATATCCCTGAGTGTAAAGCTTCTCTGCAAGCTGCATAGTATACTGTGGACCAATGCCTAATCCAGAAGAGGCAGTACGAAGCATTTCCACAGTATTAAGAGCTTGAGGTCGGCTCTTAGTTTTCTGAACTTTAGAAATATCAACAACTCTAGCTCCACTTGATTCTTTAACCAGGTTTTGAAACATTAGTGCAATATCTTTATCAAATAACCTGATTCTATTCCAATCCAAAGACAAAATCTTACCACAAGGATGTGTGGCCTGAACTTTAATAACCCAGAAAGCTTCAGGTTTGAATGACTGTATATGGTCATGTCTTTCAACACAGAATCCAAGTGTAGGTGTTTGGCAAGGTCCATAGGAAATTAGTGCACTGTCCAAATCTCCATATTTTCCTTGAAAATACTTGGTTTGGAATCTTGTGAAGGCACAACCAATCCTCAAGTCCAATTCTTGTCTGGCATCAACTGATAAAGATTCATTTTGGTTGGGATGCCCCAAGGCTTGCATTGCATGAGAAATATCTTTCTCTGTTATAGCAGAAAACTTAGCTCTAAAGATCGTTTGCTCTCCACTTCTTTTGTTCATAACAGAGGTAACACAGTCCATGACCTCAAAGCATATGTTTTCGCCTTCTTTGTCACAATCCAGCCACAGTACAAGATAATCTACACCTTTAGCTTCTTGATTTAAGAACCTTGGCATTTGTAATTTTTCCGTTGCCTCTTTTTTCAAGGTAGCAGCTGTAAACAACTCAAGAGGATCAACTGCATCCCAGTTGTTATACTTGCGATGAAAATCTAAGCTCATAACGTGGCCACAAACAGAGGTCATTTTGAATTTCACTGTCTCATTCTTAAAGATACCAGTGTATTCGTGAATGGAACACGCTCCATTCAACCCTTTTCTCGAGTTGTATTTACCTTTTGATAAGATGGCAGCAATAGACTGGGCAAGGGAAGGCTTTTCCGCAACCATTAACACTGTCTTCATGATGTCCAGTAACAATGTCAGTGCACGAATACCTCAAGACAGCCCTGAAACTATGAGTCGGCGTACACGTGGCAGTACTCAGCAGTTTGCGTAATACAGTATGCGCACAAAAGTCTACCTAGCATGCTTTGTGCGCATTACAAAAAATACTTCTATTTCTATTTCTATTTCTATTTCTATTTCTATTCACTTGAACACGTCGGCAATGTAAGAGTTAATTACCGAGAACAGAGGCAATAAGCCATACACTTATTTCAATAAAGTTAGTCGCCTGAAAAGCTACAAAGCTGAGACCAACAAGGATTATGGGTAGTTACAATTTTCATGTTTCAACCGCTTTAATAACTGTTGATGGATTTAAGATCTTTTACCAGTTACAGTCTCACCTCTTCTGAGCATCCTCAAGCTGCAAATTGTATCAAAAGCTTTACTTGTTTGATATTAAAAGTTTCCCATGATCCTCAGCGATCTCAGCTTTCTAGGTTTTTTGGTGACTAACTTTATTGAAATAAGTGTATACATCCCGAGGGCCGCAGGCCCGAGGGATGTATAGGCTTATTGCCGACGTTCGAGGTAATTAAGTATTTTATTTATCAATTGAGAAGGTTTTCTATCAAATGTTGCTCATTATAAATGCGAACGGTCAATATATAGTTATTAACCGGGTTTATAACTATATATTGACCTCGCATTTATAATGAGGGTTATAAAAAAAATAAAGCCTTGTGAATAACAATGAAAACCGTGTCAATTGAGAAATAAAAGCCTATACATCCCTCGGGACTGCGGTCCTCGGGATGTATATGGCTTATTGCCTCCGTTCTCGGTAATTACCTCTAACTAATATCAAAGTTTTCAAGGAAAGGCGTACCAGAATTATTGTTCAGAATAATTATTGTCCTTCAAAAGCTCGAGAATTTACAAAGAATGTACATGTACATGGTTACACAAGTGTCCCTTGTATAAACCATACATTCTTTGTAAATTTTTCACACTTTTGAGGGCTTGTGACTCTTTTTTTTTTTTGTTTTTTGTTTTTTTTAACGAAACACGTTCAAATTTCACAGATGCACTAACATTGAGGTGCTTTATCAGATGACAAAACTCTTTCTCTCTCTCTCTCTCTCTTTTTTTAATTTCAAAACTCGTCCCAGTCTTTTGCTCGTTTCTAAAGTGACCTTCAGATTCCTTCAGATATGACGTCTTCCGGTATTTCGCTTTGCATTGTGGACGGACCAACAGATGTTGTTATCGCTAAAAGAAAATGCTTTTCAAGAGAAGGTTTGCTTCAATAGTCTCGTATAAAAACACTTGAAAATGAAAAAGAAAAAGTTTAAATTCAATGTAGATTTCTTTTTAAATGAATTATCTAGCGTGCCATTTGTAAATGGAGTATTATTTTCCAAAATAAGACTCTTAGACGGAGGTAGTTTCAATGAAGTGTCTTCGAGGTAAGTTGGCTGAAGACTAAAAATTGCACATGATAGCAGTCTCTTTATTGACGTCTGTTTGCATCCAGGTTTTAGCTTTTGATATATCTTGGTTTTTGTCTTGCTTTGTTTTTTAAGAGAGGAGGTTCATAATAATTCTGTTAAATGGCGTAAAAACTTCCACTTTCCGTGCAAGCTAACAGCAAGTGCTACAAATGGAGTCCTCGATGTTTGCCGTTGTCGTGTTTCCGTTCGCAAGGTAAAATATTGCACTAACCATATTTAGATGATAGTTACATGTGATATAGGATTTACTTCTCACAGTTAAATTGTATCTTGATCCCAAAAAAACACTCTATGATTGCTGGTCGATTAAAAAAGTAAAAGTCTGTGATTGTGCTTTTCCATATTCGGTCGACTAATCTCTGTTGGAACTTGCATGTCCCGGCCCACCTGTGGTTGACATTTTCATTACATTTTGACTTTTAATTTTTTTGTTCTAATTCATCTTATCGAAAATAAAGACCAGTCCAAAAAGGACCCGTTTTTTTACTGTATTCTAGCTTGCAGTTTATGATTCTTTTATTATATTTTTTGGAAATATATAAACGTCACTATTTTATCCGCTTTGACAATGTGACACCTTCTACGCTTATATATTCAGGACTATGAATTTAGATTGATTCGACTAAGATATTTTATAAGTCATAAATTTTAGGTATTTAGAAGATTTTGAAGCATCTGCTTGTGGGCCGTTAAAGGAATTCGTGATTAGGATGGATGACTTGATGTTTCTAGAACTTTTTGTCATTTTTCGTTAATGATTAACTTATGGCACTCGTGATATGAATGCATTAAGGTCAAGGCTCAATGAGAAATTTTTTTTTCGAGAAAGACATATTAAGGTGGCTGCCTACTTTTGAACGTTCGAATTGAGCCCACGATGAGCGCGCGCT